CACATGCTTCATGTTTTGTATACTTGTAGTACAAGTGCCCCTTTTTGCCTCAAGCTTTGAGCACCATTGCATGCTTCATTTGTGTTGCGTACATGATTTAGCATCATCTAATATGACATTTCAGAGCTTTTAGCATTGCCATGTTCACACTTCATTCATGCTTTGAATGTCTTTAAGTATTGTGCATTATGGCCTTATTATGGCCTTAGCTTGCATTCCTAGGCCTTTGGGCCCTTATCTCAGCATGTTTAGGTCCTTGTTTTGACCTACTTGAGCTCTATCCATGCTTAGTTCATGCATTTGTGCCATGTGTTGCATGCCTCTTTTGTGTTGCTCTTTGCTAGCTTTCATGCCTTAGGACCCTAGCATGCTTTACTTATGTTGTTTGAATGATTTGGCATCATTTCTTGTTTCATTTCAGTGCACTTAGTGCTGTTACACTTCCACTTTTGTCACTCATCGAGCACTCTTGAGAGCTGTGCTCTTAGGCCTCTTTGATGGCCAATGCATTGTGCATGCATGCCTTGCTTTATGTGCCTTCATTTCATCATCACCAATGGCCACTGATTTGGGCATGACTGAGGTCTACCCTTTTTAGTTTAAGTCCATTGAACATGCCATGTATATTGCATTGAGTATACCACATTGTTTCATTGCATTAAGTATGTCATCTTACATTGCATTGTGCATGCCATGTAGTCCTTTGCATTATGCATGCCAAGTTGTCCCTTGCATTGACTATGCATGTCCATAACATTGCTAAGTTGCCATCGTAGCACTGCATTGTGCATGCATGTGTTAGCATTGTTTGCATGCCATTTGCATTGGTAGTTTGATCATACCACATTACATTGTGTATGCCATGTAGTTGCATTACATGCTTGCCATGCTTGCTTGCATTGTGTTTGGAATAGGTGTTAGTCCAAACACGGAAAACGAGGGACGTTTCATACTTAAAGTGATGAAACGTACCTTAATTCCCAGTCGCCGACGCTCTTGATTATCCATGATAGAGTTTTAGGCTTTATGTATTTACTTGTGCATTCATTTTCATATTGAATTGTGCAACTTCGCCTCCCGGTCATCATGCATTGAAATGCGCGATTGGTGGCCCGATGGTCGAAAACCTACACTCTCTTGAGTTCATGACATAATAGGGAGGGTGGTTGTGCATACATATCTTGCAAATATATTGACATGCCCTTTCTTGCTTTCTGTTGTAGAAAACTGGAGTCTGACAGCAACAACTGGTCGACCAGCCAGAAAAAGTAGCTGGCCGACCACTTTTCTTGGTTTTCAACAACAAAAAGTGGTCGGCAGGGGTCTGGAGAGACCAAAAGTGGTCGGCCACCCTCCCACTGGATTCCCAAGGTGGATTTTCATCTTTCTGGAGCTTTGTGCAAGTTTTTGAAAAATAAATGAAAACAGAGACAAATCGAGGCATCGCATTGGATTTCCAAACGAGGAAACCGGGCATGCATGCATCCCTCTACCTCTGAGGCTCCTGATTTATTACTTTCCTTAGCTGTCATGCTTAGATAGCTAGGTTTGGCTTTGGTTTGTACCTTTAATAGTTAATGCATTAGCTATTCAATTCGTTCTATAATAATTAGTTAACTAGGATTAGTTAATCAATTTATTGTGTAATAATTAGTTTAATTAGCTTAGATTAGCTAGTTAGCTTCTTATTCGGTCCCTCCTTCGAGAGGACGCATTGTTGTAATAAGCGTGCGTGCGTGTGATGCATGTCTTCCAACTCCTATTTCTTTCTCCCTTTTACTTAACCGCTTACGATGGTTAGTTTTAGGGCATATCTCATTTAGCATATCTTATGCTTGCATGTTTGCATCCATTCATCTGTATTACATGTACCGGGCTCGGCGCATCATGCTAACTGTGTTGTATTTCAATTCCAATTTGAATACATGTACCAAGTTGCATCTCGCATGACATTCTTAGGATAGCCGAGCCTATTTCTAGTCGCATTTTGCATGTGTTGCATTAGCCATTTTAACATGAGCTAAGATCATACATGATTACTAACTAGTTCTTTGTTTTGGCTCGGAGTACACAATGAGTGTTTACGCTTTAGCATACTGCATGTGTGTTAATGTTGTCATGTTAGTATGCTTGTCATGAGGCTAATTGCTTATTTGCTATAACTGCCTGAATGCCTGTGGATGAAGGTTGGATTACTTGAATTAGGACAATTCATTGAAATCCGCATTTTAGCCTACTTATGAGTAGCAAACTTTAAATCATTTTTCAAACAAACGGGTATGCGATGCTTGGTTCTAAATTAGGCAATCTAGTCTGTACTTGTTTTGCTGTGCGCATCACGTAGTAATTCTAGCTAATTAACTGAAATAAGAACGCATGTGTTTTCAAAAACAAGATATCATGCTTAGTACAGGCCGATCTTTGATCGGGCAAGTGGGAGTGCTCATTAAATGACCTTCCCCGTACCCAAGTTCCCGAGCCGAGGCAACTTTGGTGATGACGGACATGTGGCCTTAGGCACGAGTCAGAGTTTCCTAAATTCTCCCAAAATAAAATATTTAGGTGGCGACTCTGTATCTGGGAAAGCAGTCCATGTTTGGCACTTCTTTATTAAAAATCAGTTTTTCAAAACGATTTGTCGGATTTGGACTCTTTGGTGATTTATCGGTATCACATCGCACATTGTGAGATTAGATTCAGAACCGTGACATTTGAGTCCGAACTGTGGTAAGCCCAAATGGAACGAAACGGGATTCTTCCCGGGGCATTCGAGGCGCGTCCACAGATGCCTCCACTACCTTAACTACTCATCTTCCACTCCCCTCAACCTCCCACAATAATGATGTCTGCATGCTGACATTGGGTACTGGGTTATCCTCAACAATATTACGAATTCCCATTTCTACACCTATCTCATTAACCATAGAAATAGAGGAAGAATTACACATGTGCTCAGACCCTACCCCCATCACCACATCATTACTCCTCTTACTATTTTCCATGTCACAACTTTTTGCCATATCAGCCACAATGTTGTCCACATCATCATATTCCTTCATACTTTCATGGTACGTTGCAGAGCTAAGATCACTACTGCCCATGGATTTTGTTGGCAAATCCTTAACTTCGACTACACGAACAGGATAGATACTACCATCTCTTTCTAGAATAACCGTTTTATTGATACGTTCTAGTTGAGATGTACAAATTCGAACTTGCTCACACTTCAACGACTCCATGCTTAATACATTATGATCCAGCTCAACAACTTCACCGCAAGCATTACCAATTTTTCAGAAATTATTAACATTCCAAAGATATGGAGGCACACCAAAACAACTTACCCCACACAACTCTTTCATTATCCAACCTCACACCTTTATTCCATTCAGTGATTGATTCGCACCACTCCATAATCCAATCCCCAGAACTATTCATCAATTGTATCATGTCTTCTTTTGATTTGAAAGTAATAAAAGCATTTCTCCTTCCGTCTTCTCTGAGTTAAATATCCTTCAGCCCTCTAAGTCGGTATTCTGCTTTGAGGTCAGCGAAGCTGCAATGGGTTTTAATTTTAATGACTACACTCATTAGTAACCAACTGGTGGCAAATTCATCTGCCTTTATTCTGGTGTTATTGCTACTAACATTCTTCCCTCCTTTCAGAACCTCAACATAAGAGCTTCTCCCTCCAACACCTGGCCCCATTGATTTCAGTATCCCAACTGGTTTCTGAACTACTGCTCTTGAATATGTTGGTTCCTTGTCTCTCCCAAAATCTACCTTTTTTACCTTCAACATTCTATCGCCACACCATACTTCATTAGCTTTCTGAATCACTATTCATGCTATAACAGGACAATCATACCTTACAAATCCGAATCTGGTTCTCATTGCTTTTCTCATTTTCTTTGGGATATAGACATCTTTGACGACACCAAAGTTTGAAAACATAGTGAACAATCCTTTAGGGTTCTTCGACTCCAGAATCTCATCCACAAAGATTGTGTGGAGCTTTGTTAACATTTTGTCACTATAATTGGCAAAAAATGGAGTTGGCAACGCCATTTTGGCTTCAACTATTAGACTGAATTGTGTAATTTTTTTTAATATTGTCATCTCTTTTATACTGAAGTATATATATTTTTCTTATTTGTTCATATGCTTTCACACCTTCTGTATTACGGAGTAATCCAACCCTAACGCAGTAAATTAAATTTGTCATAGACTTGAATTATACATAAATTTGAGTTTTTTTTTTTTTTTCCCAAGCAGATTAATTTGTTAAATTTTTTAGGGGGGTTTAGCTAGGCTGCTTAAATCTGTAAAGTTAGCAAAACCATAATTAGTCGTATCAAAATAAATAACTTGCAACAATAACATAACAAATAAATTTTTTAGCAAAACAACCTAACAAACATTACATAATCGGTAGCAATACAAAAAATGGCAGAAACCAACTAGGTCTAGCCTAATTGGCTACCATGCCTTCCTTAGGGCTTAGTCCCAAGGAGGTTATGGGTTTAATTCTCCCTAAGGGGGTTTAATTCTCCTTAGGTACTAATCTAACAATTAACAACTAACATTTGTTTATTAAAAAAAAAAAGGCAGAATATACACCGAGAGAACTGAGTTTTTTTTTTTTTTTTTTGGACGGGAGGAGGGTGGGGCGTCAAATGATAAAAGAATATTTTCAAATATCAACAATCAACCACAAGAGCACATAACAAAGAACAAATGAACAACTAAAAAAAAACCCTCTAATAGGAGAAATGATAATAATCTTTGCATTTGATGAAAATTGCCTTAATTGAGAGTATACAATTATGGTCAACTGAGCTAACTCAATTGATTTGAAAAGAGATGAGAAGGTTTCATTGCGAATAAGGCCAAAGAGATTAGGGTTTATGTACATAAAATATAAGATTAGGGTGTGAGTGTAATTGTCTGAGCCTTAGATGAATCAGAGTTTTTGTATAGGCGTGTACACATATGGCAAAGAAAGGAATGAATTTGTTTACATTTGCAACAAGCAAATGTAGATATAACTGAACGAATAGACAACAATCAATGCCATGCTCCCCTTTTTGTATACCTTATTTGGTGTCCTAATCCTTTAATCCCCTTCCCATTCCACTTTCCTCGCCTATATATAAAAATTCTAAGCAGATAGGATTCAATCACAGAATTGAACAGAAGAGAGTTGTATCTAATTCTGCAATCGAATTATGTGCACCTACAACAACTGCCTATATATTTTCCTGTAAACACTACTCATCCTGTGAAATTTTGAAAATAAATTACCTACTATACATAAGGACCCAAAACAAGAAATGCTTCATTCTCAAGTGTGGTGTCCGAATTCGAGTCTCAGCCTGATATATTGTTTCCTCCCCTTTATTCCCCTCCAACCGATCGATAAGAAATCATATCCTTACAAAGAAAATGCTCAGTTCAGGTCCATTGTTCCCATTAGGGCTCACCATGTAAAGTGTTTCCGAGTCCTTGGACCCAACCACCCGATCAAAATGAGCCCTCATGTAGGCCAACTCGCTATCCGGTCCCTCCACGTCAGACTTTCCCGGCAAAACTCCGGCACCCATCGACGTAGCCTTGAGGAGCTCCATGATCTGCAAATCTTCCTCCGACGCCTCTCTCCTCATGCCATAACCGGTTTTTTTACCGTTGCAAAACATCGTCCACAGCGGCTCCTCTAACAACTTGATCTTGTCCTTGTCCGTTCTCTTTTCGCATTCCAATGCGATTCTCACCATTCCCAAACTCATTTCCCTCTGCAACACGTTAGTCTGCATGGCCAGCTCAACCACCATTGTAGGGAGGGTCCTAGGGTTTTCCTGTATGGAAAGGCTGACCCTCCCTTTACGGTACCCGAATAATGTTCCGGTGATGCGGTTTCCTGAGCCGCTGCGGTGGTTTTCTGGTATCACGCCTCCGGGGAGCGAGGGAAGCTTGCAGGCCGGTGTTATGATGGGAAATGATCTGAAAACGGAACGAAAAACGCGGAATACTTTGATAGGTTTGGTTTTCTTTTTGTTGGAAGGTTGGACAAGAGACAATGGCTGGGCTGGCAGTGGCGGTGGAGGAGGTTTCGATGACGCTGTTGGAGAACTGGTGCTAGGTTTTGATTCCCCCATTACTGGACTTTCATAACCAGCAATGGGTGGTTGACATGAGGGGGAGAGAGCGGGAGGAGGGGAGGAGAAAGACAGAAAGAGAGAGAGAGAGAAGGGTTGGTTGTTGAGTTAGTTTCTAGGCTCAAGAGGCTGTTTTAAGTTAGAGATTTGATTTTTGAGGATTTAGCCAAGTGTTTGGGCCCTTAAATTATGTAACTGAATAGTTTTCTGTCTTAGGGTTACACCCTGTCATGTTCTGATTGAGGATCTATTTTGGGTTTTTTTTTTAATCACTTAATATTCCAAACATGGTTGCAAGTCAGAAAACAAAAGTAATGTTGAGAAGACATCTCTCCTCTTAATTGGTCACTTCTATAGATTGGGAGGTTAAGGGGTTAATTATGATATTTTGTTACATTGAATTTGTTTCCTCTATTTGTGGGCCCTTTCTTGTGTTGGTGGTTGGTATTGATTATTAGCCTGAAAGATATATATTGGTAGATTATGATTGTGATCAATTAAATTAAAATTGGTTTGAAATTGATTTAAAATAAGCAAAACATAAACATATTTTTAAGTTTGGTGAGTTTTAAAATCAAATTTAAAATATTCAATACTCGATCAAATGCGTCTTCTTCAATGCTTGTTATCCAACAATCATTATTTTTCTTGACTTTGGCCTCAAAATTCCAATTACAGATTGTTAGACCCTATTATTTATGTTGCCTACTCAATAGTATTTTCTTTATCAGATCAGAGCCTTTCTTCTCAAGAAGAATAAATGAAACTAAACTCTGTTGTTACATAAAAGGCACATACTATCTAAATCCAGAGCATGCATTGACAGCATAAGACAAGCAGTATGAGAAACAAATATTAAGTTTAACGGCGATATTATTTGGCACGATGTTCTCGTAGCATACTAAATTTAGTACGATGGTTAGCACACTGTTGAATTGTATTTTGTACCCATGGCATCAAATTCTAGCAATAGCACAATATTCTGTACATTTCGGCAAATCTAGAATTGGTTTTCATGATTTTTCTTTTGGTTGACGATAGGTTTGAAATGAAAATCCAAATTCATTGAGAAGGCAATAGAAAAATTGAGAGGGAAGTTTTTATGCGCATTAGGGCCGAGCTAGGCCAAGGCGCAGTAATGGGCCGTTCTTTGGGCCGCAGTAAAAAGGGATGAGTAAAAGGACCTTGCGGTTAGCTCGGTCCAATTGTAGTGGTGGTTACCATAGTCGGTATGGTGATAATTAGTTCGGTCATGGTATTCAGAACCGAGGTATTTGGGCTTGTGGTGAACCTTGCCCTCGATAGCCCGGTTAGAATTTACTACGATTAGCTCAGTCTCGACAGACCATACCAAGATACAAGCAATGAAGGGAAGAACCAAGCTAGTTGGAGCTCAGTCATTTCTGCCGCTTTAGCATGGCTATATTAGCTCGGTCGTGTTGTCATACTACCGAGGTAAAACCATCCCACTTGGTTTAAGCAGTGAGGGAGGTGTTGAAGGATAAGCATTATCTTTCAGGAATGTGATTCCTAGGAGGACTCTACATGGAGGAATAAGAATCCTACTAAGATTATGCCACCGGAACCTATAAAAGCTCACAACATCACCTATGGAGAGGTAATACAATTTTGATTCTCGAATACACAGAGTTTTTGTCTATTTGTCTGTTTTGCTGACTTAGGCATCAGAGAGGTATCCGGCATACACCCACTGGCTAGCTCAAGTTTGTGTTTTCAGGGAGTAAAGCGACGACGTTTGGAGGAGCGCAGACTTGATCAACAGGATTATACGAGAACATTATTTCGTGTTCGTACAATTGGCGCCGTCTATGAAAAATTTCAGAAAGAACAAAACATCTTGATCAAGTTTTTCCTCTCTAATTAGAAGTAATGACGCACAATGAAGATTTGCCACAGTCCGCTATCGACGGACAAACCCCACAGGGGGGTGGGAGGCGCGAAGGTTTGCCTTCCATCCCTCCCATAGCGGATTTAGAACCCCAGGGACAGAACCCCCGGAGGTATACATGGGGGAGGCGGGTTAACAGCCCCCATCGCTCTCAAAGTCCAAAACGACAAAGGCGGAGGTTGGGCCCTCAAGTTTTGGAAGATCGCGTGAAGGAGTAGGATGAGATAATAAGAAGGATGGCAGCGGACATGGAGTCGATGAAGCACCAGATAAAAGGAAAAGGGTGGCGACAGGAGAGGGGCACAAAGGCAACACACCCCCACGCCACTCAGGGGATCGCGATAAGCGTACCACACTATCGCAAGCAGAGAGTAGGAGCCTGAGAACAGGCGACACTCAATCAAAGACTTATAGGACTCGTTACTCCAGGTCTGAGAGAACAAGAACTAAGAGGTCCTGTACTGAGGAAAGCACCTATCGGCCCTCGCACACGTCCCAGATGTCATCTAGGCACACGGAGCTGCCCAGAACATCTGACTTGCGAACTGTGCTTGAGGAAAGGGCACGATGGAAGGAAGATGTCAGGGCACGCGACCCGCATAGAGTCTCAGCCCTTCAGCGGTTGGCCCCTCGGACGCATGGCAGCGTCAAGGTAGGAATGCCAATAAGCGTCTTGCTTATGAACCAACAAACAAAGCGTTAGCAAGGCTTCAAAGCTCGCCGTTCGTTCCGGCAATCGAGAACGCGCCACTACCTTCGGGCTTCAACCAGCCCAAATTCACTACATATGAGGGGAAAACGGACCCCTACATGCACTTAAGCCACTTTCGCCAGGTTATGGCAGTTTACCGGCGAAACGAGGCTTTAATGTGTATCCTATTCCTATCCAGCCTTAGCGACCTAGGTTTAACTTGGTTCGAAAGGCTACCAGATGGCAGCATTGACTCATGGGCGCAGTTGGCAGAAGCGTTCGTAACTAGATTCAGGACAAACACCAAGACACCAATGGAGATCAACCAGCTACTTTCCATTGACATGGGCGAAAAAGATTCGTTGAGGTCCTACAACAGTCGTTACTGGGAGACATTCAACCAGATAGGAGATTGCCCCACAAATCTCGTCATCGCACAATACAAAAGGGGTATGCCAGTCGGAAACAAGTTGAGGGACTCGATCACTATGGTGCCACCCCTCACGATGAAGGCCTTGATGGAGTGAGTGCACAACATATTCGCGTAGAGAAGGATGGTGCCCGTGCTAAAACAAAATCTGGCACAGCAGCGACGCCAGATAAAAAGACTACGGCAAAAGTCAATACGGTAGAACGACCCAGCAAGAACGGGCGAGGCAGACGGGCCAACAAAGAGGATCCAGACAAAAGGTGGCTAAGAGTTCGCACTGCCATTACTGCGGTGTTCGAAAAACCAATCTACCGAATTCTCAGTGAGATACGAGACGAACCTTTCGTCCGATAGCCAGCTAAGTTAGGAGAAGCACAGAAGGTCTATGACGAGAGGCCCCAGTGCACCTTCCATGATGAAAAGGGGCACCGCACTGAAAATTGCACGCCGTTGAGGCAACATTTGGAGGAGTTATTGGCGGCTGGGCATTTGGACCAGTACATAGAAGGAGGAACATAGCCAGCCCCCTAGAACCACCACGTTCCAAACAGCATGCCGGTTGACGCTCCACCTCAAGGCGTAATTAACGTGATACATGGGATATTCGAACCTGAGCGTATATGTGAGCTTAGGGGGATGATCAAAAAGGCTAAGCACTTAAGGGAGGTATTAAGTGCACAACCTGTCATCAAAAAGGGGAGAACAGAGGCCACAAATGTCATATCTTTTTTGGACAAAGATTTGGCAAGGATATACTACCCTCACAATGATGCATTGGTTGTCACTCTCTGCGTCAAGGATTTCGACGTCAAATGAATTTTGATCGACCAGGGAAGCTCATGTGAGATAATATACTACGAAACCTTCAAACAACTAAAACTGGAGGACAAAGACATGGCGCCCGCAACATCTCCCGTAATCGGATTCAACTCAATGCCAGAGTGGCCAGTGTGTAAGACAATCCTCCCAATCAGAGCAGGAAGCATGACGAAACAGGTGAAATTTTAGGTATTGAAAGTCCCTTCCACTTACAACATAATCCTGGGAAGGACATGGTTGCACGCTATGCGATCGGTAGTGTCAACCTACCATCAAGTATTACGGTTTCCTAACGATGCCAGAGTAATTGAAGAGGTCTTGGGAGACCAAATTATGTCTAAACAGTGCTTCGTCACAGTAAACGGCAGCTGCGTTGCCAAAGGGTATGTACAAATAGTGGAAGAACCTGAGAGCAATGAATTGTTTATAGATGTTGGCAAAACCGCCAAACAGAAGGCAGTGGAAGACTCAGTACAGGTAAGGATAGATGAAAAAGACCCAGAAAAGTTCTTTTTGCTCGACTCGTCATTGTCCAGCACTGAGAGAATAGAGGTTATGGAATTCTTAACCTCTAACATCGAAGTGTTCGCCTGGACACCGTATGACATGCCTGGCATTGACCCAAATTTCATCTGTCACCAACTGCACGTCCACCCAACTGCCAGACCAATTATACAGTGCACTCACAGATCAGCACTCTACCATGCAGAGATAGTGGCGGAAGAAGTAGGCAACCTGCTGGAGGCAGGAGCTATCAGAGAAGTGCACTATCCCATATGGATCTCCAATACCGTAGTAGTACCAAAGAAGAACGAAAAATGGCGTGTCTGCGTGGACTACAAAACAATCAACAAGACATGCCAAAAGACAGATTTCCCCTACCACGGATAGACCAACTGGTAGACCTGATGGCAGGACACAATTGACTTAGCTTCCTTGATGTTGTAAACACTCCATTTTTTACCGTACTTAAGACTTGGACGTCACCGCTCGAACACTCGGTGATTACTCATATTTGTGTTTCGTTTTGAGTTCCCGGAGGTCTCGGCTACGCGCCTTGCCTCAGGATCTCTCAACTCGACTGTTCTGTGTTTGGTTTTGCACCAAACACTTGTGTTTTTGCTTCTGAAGGTAGAAAGTAGCTTGTTAGCTACCCCTGACACCCACCGGCCTTGGTTTGAGGCCACCGGCCATGTTTTGAGGCTACTGGCCATTGGTGAATTATACCATTGGCCGGTCAGCACTCAGTATAGCCGGCCGGCCATCTGTTTGG